AACTATCATAAAAGAAGTGAAGACAACTTGACGGTTATCTCGCTTCGATGGCACAGGAACCGGTTGCTTTTCAAAATGCCACTTTGCGAGAGCTTTGAAGGATACCGTGTGTGGAAGAAATGACTTAAATTAGTGTCGTATCCATGGGCTAACCCATGTAAGAATAGTCTACATTCATAAAACAATCTCCTGCTTTTTCCTCGTGCTCTTTTGTTTCCTCTTCTCGCCCTAAGGATCTCAACACGTGAGCCATTTCCACGTGATTTCCTGCCATTTCTTTAGAGGTGAATGCAAGATTCTGACGCATTTTAAGTGCTTCTCTCAGATAACGAAGTGCTTCTTCAAGTTGTTTTGACTGCTTGTCGCCAGGATCAGTTTGACCCGCTGCAAAACAAACGTAATTGTAATGGCGCAAGAAATGGAACAAATGTGACATCTCTCATAGATGACATAGGGCAGCGATGGATACAGCAACTGGATACCACAACATGTGCGTCAAAACCCTTCTTTTCTCCCCCTAATGCAACTATATGCACAAAGAACAAATTGAAAAATGATGATTTCTACATAGGCTTACCTTGCTCTCGTAAGATACGGCCCATTTCAAACAAAGAACGAGCAGTTTCAGAATGTTCGCCCAAGGATCGTTTTCTGTAGGACAAAGCTTTTTCGCATGCCTTGAGGGCTTCTTCGTACTTACCGAGTACGAGGTAGTCATGGGCTGAATGGCTGTGCGCATTGGCTGTAAATGGATGACAACCAAGATGCTTTTCATAAACTGGTAGGACTTCGGTTTGTCTTATTTGAATGGCTTTTTCATTCGAATCTTTGTTATAACTGTAGGTACCTGTAAAATAGCAAGCCAAATCAGCCAGGTAGCCAAGGTTAGAGCACTGACAGCATGCACATGTAACCAATTCAAGCAAAATGTCCTTTAGAGGATAAAAACAAACAAAATTCGAAAGGGAAAGATATGACGAGCACTAGCTTGCATGCAGCCTAACCAGAGAAGCACGAGCCTGTTTACAGCAAAACGTGGTCTTTTAGAAGACAAACATCTTCATGTCCATCTAGCGCAAATGGCTGCCACTGATTTAAAATGCATTTTTTTCCGACTTCAGCGCAATTATTTGGAGAGGTTTTGAATTGTATCACTCAAACTTATTCAAGCCTTTTATACTGCCCCGTTTATACTAACTTAAAGTCAATTAAATATTAATTTGTATAAATTTCTGACAACAACAGTGGACAAAACAAACGGTATTGCATCAAAAATCACATTTTCTTGCAAGGGTGTCATTTTTGTCTATCGTTCTCTTTGAAAGACTATCGATTTTCCATTTTATCATCATGATCATGGTAGATTCAGATTTTTGAAAAAATGCATTACATTTCAAAATGAATAGAATCGATAGTAAGCTTACTTGCAAGATCATTGTATCCCACTGCCACCATAACGCGATCTTTTGTGGATTTTGATTTCTTGAACACTTTCTTGCGTATTTTAACCCCTTTTTTGAAAAATTCCAATCCATCGTCCTTTCGTCCTTGACGAACCAAACACTTGCCGTACTTCAGAAGGAATTGAGTTTGGGCTCCCTTGGACATGATCTTGCACTTAGACACAAGTTTGAGCTGTTTACTTAAGCTTGAAATTTTCTTATCGTTGCTGCATATTGCCTTCAGCACTTCATTAAAGCACCACTTTGCTTGCTCTAGAGCAATTGGACATATTTGGGGCACACCGAGACAGCTCAAGATGCACGCAACTCCATCATAAGTCAGACATTCGACGTATAATTGCTTCTTTTTGTCTTTATTCTTTGAGTTGTCTATACCTTCTTCATCTCGACAAAACCTTAAAATCCTACGCAGGATGTTTTTCAATAAACCTCTTTCCATCAACTTGATGTTGATCAAGTAACATTTCATGAATGACTCGATGATGTCGCGCTTCATTTCAGGATCTTTGGAGAATCTATCAGAGTCGAGCCAATTTGCTATTTCTCTGAGATTTGCCTCTTGTTTTCTGTATTTCTGGATGGCAATTGCACTGTCGGTGCTGAAGAAATCATTTTCAATCTTTAACAGGCTGTCAAATGTGTTCTTCACAAACCTTGAAGTAGCATCCTTGTATGTAAGACTCAAATTGGATTCATTAGAGTCAGTTTCAGAAGAGGTTGGTGGTTCCTGTGTTGCTTTATAGATTGCAAACGATCTCATGGCAGGGTTCAAGTAGTAAGCCATTCGTTCTTGGTTGTAAGACAGGAAGCTGAAGTTCATCAAATCAGTTAATCCATCCTGAAGTTCGACTTTGTTCGTGACGAGCGTTGCGGCTTCATTAAGTGTGAGGAATCCTGCAGGGAGCACTGAAATCATCACGAGAACCTTTTGTGAAATGTCTTTAACACGATCAAAGCAAATGTCAAGGCAGCAATAAAAACGTTCTTTTGGACTCATTG